CTTACACTGCAAAATTGGGGACGGCTAGCGCAGATAGCCCTCGTGTAGCTTTGCGCGAAATTCAAAACCAAACAAACAATCTATCTAAACATAGACTTTTACTTTTCTGTGTTCCATCTTAGTTCTTTATTATAATTTTCAATTATGTGTTATTTATGAATAAAGTTTCTGTTAACATATTTTTTTTCAATGCATTGAAAGCATCCGCTTAATAATTTTAAAGGAATTGATCCCCTAATTTTCGGAAACAATCCGCAACATTGTACCTGTTTAACATATGTACCCCAAAGGCATCAAACGTTTCAAAATTTGAATCTGAATATTAAATATCTAAGAAAACATCTTTAATAAATAAACCCACAGCACTACTCAGAATGTCACGTGAAAGTTGATATAATTAGCACCATTATAAATACGAAAATATATCGGAATTGTGTAAAGTTTGCTGATGTGTACAAGACGATACAATGCAATATCAATCAAGTATGCTGCACTCGGAATATCTAATATTATCAAAGCCGCAAGCAAAGTTAACCGAACAAAGTATTTGTAACTCACGAAATTATGCAGACAAACAAGGTTGGAATTTCTAATGTTGCATAATTGCCATGAAATTTGTCATCGCAATGTTAGAAATTTCCTTATCGCCAAATCCTGTGCATGCCACATCTAAGATTAATGATCTACTAACCGTTTAATCGAATATCATCCCAAGACTATGTAGAATAAGCAAAGGGACCGCTTAGCCAAGTATAAAAAGGCGTTTATCAAGTGTGCTACTTGCAAAATCCCTAGGAAATATGGTTATAAGTTTATAAACATTGAAATAAGCAAGCTGCCAGTAATATATAATAGCCTTTAATATACACGTGCGAACACTTTATTATTAGATGATTTCAGCGCTTATTAGATCATATATCTTCTTGTATGCTTAGGGAATGATTCGAATGATCTCTTACACGTATTGTTCCTTTTATTTGTGGGTTTGATAAGCTTTAAAGTTCAAGATCCTTTAATGTTTTTATCTTTGGAATAATTATGCTGTTACTAACAGCTACAAAAGTTGTATGCATGTATATATTACCTCTGTCTCAGAAATGGTTGAAATACACTAAATTTCGTACGCTTATAGCTATGGTAAATAAAAATATTGTTAATAGTTTGTATCGTATGCGCTCCTGTTGGTTTATAATCGTACTACATTAAAGAAAACTTTTTTTTTTAAAGTTGAACCTAAAATTATTGAAAATTAAGCGTATCATGTTACTAATGAATCTTTCGTCGTTGTCTTCATTACGTTTAATTAAACGAAATAAAGAAAAATCCTACTCATTAAAAAAGATGCGCGTTAATGATTATTCCTCAAAATTACAAACAGAACAAAATTCCATGTAAGAAAATACGTAATTAAGTAAAAGTGTTTTAATTGTGTAAAAGCTCATTTCTTGCACACTTTTTTACTTTAAAAGGTGTAGTAAAATTACGTGTTAAGCTGTTAATACAACCACAGAAACTTAACGTTATGTGTCTGTTGTTGACAGCAACAAAAGCGAATTAATACTAATTCCAGTCATCGATGTTTCTGAGATCACACGGGATAAAAATGTTAGAAAAACTAAAAAAAAACAAAAAAACGATATCCCAGTCCTTTTGGAATCCTCATTTTTTTTTTCATTTTATGTTCTTGTTCTTATTCAGAAGTGTTTAAAAATTAAGGCCCTAACTTATATCGTTCACCTTTTTTGAAATCCTTCTCGAAACATATACATCATTACATCGTATCGCTGTGAATGTCTTACAAAATTTTGTAAATGTTAATGTTGCATGGATATCCTAATCCTTCAGCTTGGCTGAAACTGTTTTTTTTTAATACATAGAAACCTAAGCCTGTTTTTACAACTTTCTTATTAATGAAAGGTAAATTTTTGTTCAACAAATAAACATTTGAAATTCTTTGCTTACATTCATGTTACTTCTTAATCTAAATGTTGCAATGCTCAAACGATTGTGAAAATTAACAGTTTTAATTCTTCTATAAAAGGCCTATGTTGATGTTGACACTTGATTAGTGACTGTATATCAGGTTTTAGGGGCTCTTTATTTATTTATTTTTCGAGATGTGCTTGCGTATATCCAAAGACCTTATTTTTGAACTCAATTAACAATATTATTTCGTGTAATTTGTGTGTGTGTTTGAATATGCTGTTTATATGTATTATAATTACAAAAGAACTAACATGTTTCTTTTTGAAGCTTATGTGATAACACAGAGACACATTACTAACACAACAGTAAGACAGAAATGCTGAAGCAACTAAAACATAGAAATTTAAAAGAATAACGTTGTATGTAAAGCAGTTCTGTAAACATGAAAATTCTAAAGCTAAATCATTTGCACCATTGAGTACAAGAAATCTTTTCAATCTGATAACTTAATATTTTTACTAATGCTAACCAGGTATCTTGGGTTCGTCAACGCGATCTCCACATACTGACCGTTGGCAGTTACACTTACACGAGTGACCAGAGGTTTAAATCACTACATCTTGATGGTAAAACAGACTGGACTTTGAAGATTCAATACACACAGAAGCACGACGCTGGAATTTATGAATGCCAAGTTAGCACTGAACCAAAGATGAACCTAAGTATTAAGCTCAATGTGGTTGGTAAGTGTTATGTTCAATTATTAAGCTCAATGTGGTTAGTAAGTGTTATGTTCAATTATTAAGCTCAATGTGGTTGGTAAGTGTTATGTTCAATTATTAAGCTCAATGTGGTTGGTAAGTGTTATGTTCATTATTGAGCTCAATGTGGTTGGTAAGTGTTATGTTCATTATTAAGCTCAATGTGGTTGGTAAGTGTTATGTTCAATTATTAAGCTCAATGTGGTTGGTTTACCGTTAAATGGGAGCGTCGCTAGCAAATATCTAATTATCAAACCTAGTGTATAGTAAGTGTTATGTCCAAGTATCAAGCTCAATGTGGTTTATTTATCGTTAAATATGAACGTCGCTAGCAAATATTTAATTATGAAACCCAATGATATCCCTAGGATAGCCGTCTAAGGGTTAATAGATATCCATTAAGACAATTAAGTTTAAATTAAACTATACGCTCTTAATGTCAGTTCCTCGGTATGGAGGGTTAGGAATTATTTACTTATTTCTACTGTGTAACCTTTTGTCCCTTGTCCACTCTAAGAAAAGAGGTTTTAAATAAAACTTTAGAGGTGTAAACTACTGAGGAGATACACCTAAATAAATGTGTTTTCACGATATTCGTATGTGTTATCTTAAGAGTGTGACTTCTCTCGCTTTTATCAACGCGAGGCATTAGCGTTCAAAGCAAACACACATTCACTCTTAGAGTCTGACTAACTGATACAACATTCTAAGGTTCTTAACCTTTCCGTCGTTTTTATTTCGTTTCACTTTGGCTTGCTATAGATTGTGCTCATTTAGTTCTGTCCTATTCCATCTCAGTTTACGTTACTTATTTGAATTATGCAATTATTAGATGAGACAGTGGTTATATCATTCATATTTTGATAGTTATTTGCTCCGTTAAATACTTACTTAGTTTGGTATTCCCGTAATGATGTTTTACTTATACTTTTTTGATCATGTTGATCTGCAGGTTATTAGCTATTCTGCCGTTGACTGAATTTATATTAGCTATATATCATATTTCTTTGATTCATAAAGAACATAGATTGTTCAGGTTTTCAGGGGTAGGAGACCCCAGCAGATATCTGAAACTCTTAATCTAAAAGCAGTGATAGAATGATATCCATGAAATCGTTACCATGACAGTTTAACATTCACCATTTTTATCCGTGTGTGTCCAGATACATTTGCGTAGGACTAACATAAACATACATGTTTGAAGCTAAAGGAAGACAATTTCTCACTGCTTTATTGCGTAGGACTAACATAAACATACATGTTTGAAGCTAAAGGAAGACAATTTCTCACTGCTTTATTGCGTAGGACTAACATAAACATACATGTTTGAAGCTAAAGGAAGACAATTTCTCACTGCTTTATTGCGTAGGACTAACATAAACATACATGTTTGTCGCTAAAGGAAGACACTGCTTCATGGAGCTGGTCACTATTCAGAGCCCAATTTGTCCTTTAGGTCTGATTAAAAATCCATTAACATATATGGCACAGAATATCAGTTAATGAGCTTTTCATTAACCGTAACAATTGGATTTTACATCTAGTTTTATCGCGCAAGTGTTATTTTGGTTACCATTACAGAACACTTATATTCACCCTGTTCAGAAACAATGTAAGAGAATTGTTTACTAGAGTTTTGGATGCAGGACCACTGCTACAGTGTCTACTAGAATTCCATTACAACAACGGAAGTACATTGCAGCATGCATGGAATACCAGTGCAGCGCGAAACTGTTTCGACAGGAGTTTCAAAAGGTTTAGAAATGTTTATAAGTGTGTTAACATAATTTCCGGGCATCATTATTCAGAGTAGCTTATAAAATCAACTTGGGCCACTTAACAAGTTCCTGATCAAATGTTATTTCTTTCGTGACTAAAGATGTCATAACTTTGAATATTTTGAAATGCCTTCAGTTTATCTGAATGTTCATATTAGAGAAAAAGATGACATAACTGTTGAAAGTATATTTATTCTAATGGAAAATAGTCATCTCGTTACATTGCTTTAAAACTTATAACCTATGTAGTTTATAAACGTACTTCTTGGCATCATTTACATGATCAACTTCACATTGAGAAAAATTCTTTAACGATTATACCGCCCTTAAAAAAGCACAAAGCTCTCCTACAATAACTATTCCTTGCATACATATATATGCATCATTCGTAATGTTTTCGTTCATGTAGTTGCCAAGGCAACAATACCTGGTGGGCCAAACATGTATATTCAAAGTGGAGGAACTTTCAACCTCACGTGCATCATCACCGACAGCACCTCTCCTCCCACTTATGTCTTCTGGTATCACGATGGCCGCATGATAAACTACGACACCACCAGAGGGATCAGCGTCATCACGAACAAGGGGTCCAAGTCCGTGAGCACCTTAAGAATAGAAAATGCCAGTTCATCACACTCTGGGAACTATTCCTGCACTCCATCGTATGCTGACCCAGCCAACATCACGGTCCACGTTCTAAATGGTAAGTTCTGAATCAGTACAGGAGCAAAGAATAGGGCTGAAGAAGTAGTGTTGTAGATGAGGGCCTGGGCTTACCATTTCACTATTTAGAGACTTACCACACGAATAATACGGCTGATACAAAAGTACCCGGATATACGCGTGACATTGAACGCCATGGGCGTCTACTTAACGTTTTTTGCTACCGATCTCCTCGCTCAGTTGAACCTGTTTCGCGTTAATAGGGCGGTAACATCTTTTTTTACGAAATGTCTTCAAACCTATTTCGCGTTAATAGGGCGGTAACATCTTCTCTATGAAATGTCTTTAAACCCATTTCGCGTTAATAGGGCGGTAATATCTTCTTTACGAAATGTCTTCAAACCTATTTCGCGTTAATAGGGCAGTAACATCTTCTCTATGAAATTTCTTCAAACCCATTTCGCGTTAATAGGGCGGTAACATCTTCTCTACGAAATGTATTCAAACTGGTTCAGTAACTTGCAATATCAAACAGACAAACGGACAGATATACAAGTCTTTCAGGCCCACGTAGTATTATTCATATTTCTTAGCATGACCGTTCGAGAGTTTCTTTTAAGATTGAAATAACTTCATCATTCTTTAAAATTAACAGATTATCCCTTAATATTTTACTGGACATAGAATAAGCAATTCTGGTAATTTTCGAAGTTAAAGTGGCGAAACAAAGTCCAGTAAAACTTTTAGGTTTAATTTATCATTATACTCGTGAAATATATATATGTTGGTATGGAATGAAACGTTTTTCTTTCTTTTCTTCTCACACGCCTCACCAACTTGGAGCGACAGCAGTAATCAGTAGTAATATTACGCTTATATTATGTTGCTACAATTGTAATACATCATCATTATAGAACAGGAAATGAACCATATGTCGCTACAAAACACCAACTAACCTCTTTAAAACATGCAACACAGGTTTTACGACAGACTGATAACCGAATCGATGCGTGTGCTAAGCTACGTTGCAGTGTGATTATTGGTCTTACCTGAAGGTACGGGGTCGATCGAAGGGAAAAATCCATTCGATAAATAAAGAATACATAGGTTTGGTATATCATATCGATTTTTTTTGATTTTCTTTAGTAAAGCATATTTTAACAGAGTGAACTAAAAAAATCCTCAAATAGGTTCAAAAAATCCGAGTAAGGAAAGGATTTCGACTTTTAGACAAACATATGTCAATAAAATATAGATGACATATTATTGGGGTTTTTCTAGTTTTCACGTCGGAGAACCGGGTCTATATTTGTACATACAAGTTTACAGTAAGTGCCAAATTTGAACTTTTATCTTGGCGGGGTCACTTAGCTCGGATAACAATTTAAATCAAGTTATGTTTGTCTGTTTGAATTTCGCGCAACGATACACGAGGGCTATCTGCACTAGCCGTCCCTAATTTAACGGTGAAAGACTAGAGGGAAGGCAGCTAGTCATCACCAACTCTTGGACTACTCTTTTACCAACGAATAGTGGGATTCACCGTCACATTATAACGCTCCCACGGCTGAAAGGGCGAGCATGTTTGATGGGAGGGGGATTCGAACCTGCGACCCTCAGATTTCGAGTCGAGCGCCCTAACCACCTGGCCATCTTTAAAGGATAGGTAATGTTCGTAGATTTTTCTCAGAGTTCATGCTGTTTATTTTTCTTTTCGCCTCTGACAAAATAATTCGCTTAACAAATTTAGAATGTAGAGACATAATTCAAGAGCCTTGTCAATCAAGATGAACTGATTAAGCTAAAAACGTCTATCTTTGGTTATCAATATAAAGCGGCCACTTTTTACAATTCCTTGATGCAACGCCCCCGAGTGGCACGGCGGTATGTCTGCGGACCTATGCCGCTAGAAACCGAGTTTTGATACCCGTGGTGGGCAGAGCAAAGATAGCCCGTTGTGTAGCTTTGTGCTTAACTACAAACAAACCGCGATGCACGTGTAAAAATACGTGAAGGGAGCTATGGGTCGTTTTATGTTTGTGTGTTTTTATTTCAAAGTTAGTCCCTTCTACCATAGTATACTTTATTATTTGTAATGCTAATTATTTGCGATGGCTTGAGCTAGCAACGTGACACATGTTTTATGTTTCAGGCTATTATAGAACCAATTACTGGTCTTCCAGCAATGTTAATCCCCTCCCTCTCACACATCTTTCTTTCTTTTTTTTTCTTCAACAGTTCTAAATTAGAAATGGTATGATTGAATCCTAGAGGTCTTTGACCTGCCCGTTTAATCCACGTATCGCATAATGTGCTGTTTCAGTTGAAATTTCAAAATATGGAAATACCACATATTTTACAACATTGGAGAGTGAAAAACAAATCAGAAGCTAAAACATATCCGTTACAATGGGTCATCAACAATGGGTCATCAACACACTCTAATTATAAAACGTGGGTGAAATAACCTTCCGTAATCTTGAGTGCGCACATTGGATGCGCAGAACTGCTACGGGGCAAGTTTCTCTAATCCAGTGGTTCCCAACCTCTTTTAGTCTGAGGCTCCTTTGATGTGAATAAGAAACGTGTGGCCCCCAATCTATAAAAATGCCTTAAAATGTGATTTTAAAATGCCCTCCCCCCACTACTTTAGCATGGTGATTGAAAAACAGTGCCGAAGTAAAAACAATAACATACTGTTTGTTTGGAATTAAGCACAAAGCTACACAATGGGCTATTTGTGCTCTGCCCACCACGGGCATAGAAGCCCAGTTTCTAGCGTTGTAAATCCGTAGACATATCATTGTGCCACTGAGAGGATCGACATACTGTATCATTTAATTAATTCAACATAATTTTTATCAGCTTATTCTTTATTTAGAATTAAAACCATTTCAGAATCTTTGCTTTAGGCCCATTATTGGCGTCTCCCCAAGAAAAAGCTTCACGGCTCCCAGGCGGGCTGCGGCTACACTTTGGGAGGTGCTGCTCTAATCTGATAAATCTCGCCACTTGCCTACGATTTCTTTCCGTCTTTTTTATTGTTGACATCTAGCGCTTTTGTCTCGTAATCAAACATTTTAGTGTGCACGGTCCAACTTTTTTTTTTTCTCTCTCTGATTCTCTAGCTCAGAAAAGAAAAGAAAATGCAGTTCTGTTCAACACAAATATGTATTTTCTGTGATATAATGCTATTAGTTCTGTCGTAGTAACCTTATTTCAAATAGCATCACCTATATTTAGGTGTTATGCTTTGCTATCATGATGTTATTCATCTATTGTGACGATGGTGGGTCAGCGATAAAAGCCACGCGCCTCGATTCCCTGAGGACGACATAGCCCAGATAGCACATCGTGTAGATTTGCACTAAAACAAACAAATGTTAAAAGAAATATATTTATTATACTGCGACTCAAGCTTTTAGAAATGGCCAAAAGCTCAAGAGGATATCATAAAAAGTCGCAATTTTGTTTTAACCGCGGCATAGCGGCTCAAAGAACGACTCTGAGTTTTTGCTTGTTTGTTGTTCTTTTTTCAAGTACAAACTTTTATCTCATAGCTCCGTCATCTCTTGACCGATTTAAGATCTAATTACAGTTTTGGACTAAGGAGGTCAAACCCTTTCGATTGATGTGTTTGGCCACAGCCAAGGTCTCGTAGCTAAATTTATTCTAATCCTGCCTAAAGGAATTTCAATTTGAAGGTAGGCTGGTAGAGATCCTGATGTGTAATAAAATCGAATCGGGTATAAGTCCGCCCCAAACTTGGTATTGCTGGCACATTAAAATATAGCTAATAAAAAGTAAAAAAAAAAAAGGTCTCATAGATTAATTTATTCTAATCCTGCCTAAAATAATTTCAAATGCCGCGACTGTTGAGGATTCCCTCTTGTGTTTCACCCTTCTTACTCACAAACTTAACACGTCGATTTTATTAGATCTGAAAAAGGAAATATATATATATATATATATATATATAT